GGTAAGAGGGTCCTCCTTACCCTGACTCCTGTCGGGAGAAGTTGATCAATTTTGTTGAGAGACCAGCTGATCCTTCGAATTAGGAAGGTATGCACGAGAAAAAGAGGCTCTTTAAGGTTTCACAGGACGAAAGAGTGCAAGCAGGGGATATGGAGCACCAGGAAAAACGTCTGTCTTCACCGGTGTACAGAGAGAAAAGAAAAGGTAGTCTGCATATCTAAAAATGTTAAGTCTGTGGGCTGAGTGATACTAGCAATAACAGCATTGTAAGAGGGGGACAGTTGAACCCGGAGGCTCCACCCCTGTTTAATGATGGACGATTTCTTTTCACAAAGATGGCCTCCTTTACTCCTCTCTCAAACCATTGTTCCTCTCTGTCCAGGATGTGAACATCTTCATCCCTGAAAGAGTGACCTCTGGCCTGGAGATGAGTGTAGACCTCAGAGTCCTGCCCTGATGATGTTGATCTTCTGTGCTGGTCCATCCTTTTGGCCAGTGGCTGTTTAGTTTCCCCGATGTAAGACTGATCACCCTCCTGACACTGAACAGCATACACAATATTATTCTGTTTGTGCCAGGGGACTGGATCTTTGGGATGAACCAGTCTTTGCCGTAATGTATTTTGGGGTTTAAAAGCCACTGGGACGTTATGTTTAGAAAATAAACGTCTCAGTTTCTCTGATACTCCCTCAACATATGGAATGACCACTGGTCTGGGTCTGGGTTCCTCCTTTTCACCTGATGGCTGACTGGAGTCCTGTTTGGGTTTCTTCTCTGGTTTCAGGAAGGCCCAGTTAGGATATCCACATTGCTCTAGAGCCCGTCTTGTGTGGGATTTCTCCTTCTGCCTGGCTCCTGAGCTAGTGGGGACGCTGTCTGCTCTGTGGTACAGAGTCCTGATGACTCCTAACTTGTGCTCCAAAGGGTGATGGGAGTCAAACTGCAAATACTGGTCTGTGTGGGTGGGTTTGCGGTACACCTCAGTTTGCAAATGTCCTCTATCAGAGACTGAGACCTCACAGTCCAAGAAAGCCAACCTGCCATTTTTTACATCTTCTCGTGTGAACTTAATGTATTTATCCACAGAGTTGATGTGGTCAGTAAAATGTTGGACTTCCTGAGATTTAATTTTAACCCAGGTGTCGTCAACATACCTGAACCAATGACTTGGTGGTGTCCCTGAAAAGGACGTCAAGGCTCTCTTTTCTACCTCCTCCATGTACAGGTTGGCAACAATAGGAGAAACTGGAGACCCCATAGCACACCCATGTTTCTGCCTATAATATTGCTCCCCATATGTGAAGTAGGTTGACTGCAGGCACAGTTTCAAGAGTTGACACAGTTGTTCTGTGGAAAGCGTGGTCCTGCTGCTCAGAGTGGTGTCTGATTTTAATTTTAAACTGACCACCTCTACTGCATCATCAACAGGAATGCACGTAAAGAGTGATGTGACATCAAAAGAGACCATTGTTTCATCAGTCTCCATGATGACATCCCTCACCTTGTCCACAAAGTCCATGGTGTTCTGTATGTGGTGTTCTGAGCTGCCAACTAAAGGGATGAGTACAGACGCCAGATATTTGGAAACATTGTAAGTGACAGAGTTAATCATGCTAAAAATTGGTCTTAAAGGTACACCCTGTTTGTGGATTTTAGGTAAACCATACAGACTAGGTGTGGCCTCCCCTGGGTACAGTCTGTGGTACAGAAAACGGTCAATAGCCTTGTCCTGCTCCAAATTTTTCAGGCAATCCATAAATTTCTTCTTGTAACCACTTCCTGGATCTCTTTTCAGAGGTTCATACGTGTTTAAGTCACTAAGGAGTGTCATAACTTTCTCATGATAGTCTTTCTGGTTCAAAATCACTGTGCACCTTCCTTTGTCTGCTGGGAGAATGATGATGTTTTTGTCCTTGCTAAGAGTGGTGAGTGCGTCCCTCTCTTCTCTACTGATGTTGGAAGGTGGTGGTTTGGCATTGCTGAGGCAGGATGAAACTTTGATTCTGAGCTGTTCTGCTTCACCCTCTTTAATTTTGTTGTTGCGGATGGCTGATTCTGTGGCTGTGATCATCTCCACCAGAGGAATTCTACTTGGTGCAACCGCAAAGTTCAGTCCCCTGGCAAGAATCTCTGTCTCCTGCTGGGTGAGCTGTCTGTCAGATAAATTCTTCACCCACTTTTCTGTCTCCCTGGCATGTAACTGCATATCCTGATGCATGCTCAATAATCCAGGTAGAACAATCTAAAAAAGTTAGTTCTCTAGACGGGTTTAAAAACAAAAAATTGTAGAAACGTTTCGTCTTTCATCCAAAAGACTTCTTCAGTTTGAGGTGCTGTATTCAGCTCAGTCTAATAAATAGCACCTTCTCATAGTGGATCAACCAGTTTGTTACTGACATTCAAAACTAGTTGTTCACATGATCAAGGAGGACCATCAGCCTAACGATGGATCGTTAGTCTGCATTTCACATTTTGGTGGTGAGCAATAATGTTCAGTTTGAAATGTATGCAATAGATGTAAAACATCTAAAACTTTTAAAACTGTATGCATCTTTATCCCACAGGTGGCCTGCCTGTCTCTGTCCCAAGCAGCTTAACTGGCACTCGGCCCACCTCCTCCTCCGGCCACATAAAGAGACCAATGAATGCCTTCATGGTGTGGGCCAAAGATGAACGCAGGAGAATCCTACAAGCCTTCCCTGACATGCACAACTCATCTATCAGCAAGATCCTGGGTGAGTTTAGAACAACACCAAGGCACAACAAGAACAAAACAAGCACCTTAAAACTAAAGAGATATGCTGGTCATTTTTGAAGTGATGTCCAACAGTTATCAAACTCTGATGTCAGTCACAGAGGATGGGAGAAGAGCAGAAGTCTTCCTGCAGGCTAGGCTAATGACTAATGGCTAACCAAATGAGGGCCTTTTTAACATTGTTTTTCAGGTTTATAAAACAACTCCTTTTAAAAAAGATTCTACTGGTCTAAAAGACCACTACATTAAGTAATTAAATCTCCACGCTTTTGAAATACACCATTTGTTTTGTTTATCACTCACTTGACCAGCAATATTCGTGTTACTACAAAAATATATATCTTGAGCAATGACATAAACTTACATTTCGATTTTGCTAAGACTATAAGCCTAGAGTAAGACTTCTTCTTTTTCCACACTCTGTGTTCTATGACTGCTACAGATGACGACTTTTGATACTTATTTGATGGAACATCACTTCAAAAATCACCAGACTATCCCTTTAATGTCAGTTTATCTTCGCTCCTCAGGTTCTAAGTGGAAGGCTATGTCCAACCAGGAGAAGCAGCCATACTATGAAGAGCAGGCAAGACTGAGCAGGCAGCATCTGGAGCGCTACCCAGACTACAAATACAAACCCCGACCTAAACGTACCTGCATAGTGGAGGGACGGAGGCTGAGGGTGGGCGAGTACAAAGCCATGATGAAGAGCCGAAGACAGGAGCAGAGAGCTACCTACACCCACAGGTAGATAAAAACATGTATGAAGGCTGACAAGTTTCACACAGTTTGGAGAGAAACCACAGCGCTGTAGCCTACAGCTCTCCAACTTTGCTTTTTATTCTTCAAGACAAACTAAAATGAGTCTAAAATCACAATTGGGCTAATTTTAGAATGTGATCTGCAGCTAAAATTATTTTTTATAACAACTTTAGCTTGTTAATTTGAATAAGGCAGAAGTCAAAAATGTAAACAGTTGTTGGTTTAAGACCTTTTTGCTTTGTGGCATTAATATCACAACATAACAGCAACCTAACACAAAACTTCATTTAGGAGAACATAATCCTCTTAGAAAACAATTACAACTTGTACTGCCAATTAACTCCAGGTCTTCTGTCACATGACTGTTGAGTGTTCAAAATCTGTCAGTTTTCTAAAATGTCTCATTTTAAAATGACCAAAAAAGGTCTCAGGTTTAAAACTTGTCAACTTGTCTTGCTTTGTCAAACAGTTTTACAAATTTCATCAAAGATCTGTAGTCGTGCTGACGGTTGACCGAGTGCTGCATGATCACAGCTACCAATTACCACACCATTCTCTACTGGTGCAAAAGCAAATATATCAGAGAGTCAGAGATTCTTTTTTGTTGTTCGCACCTCATGTGGTTCATGTGGTGGAGCGAAATTATGTACACAGGGTCCCAGTTACATCCAACAATAAAATGTATAAGAAAAACAGTAATAACATCTAAGATATGAACTAAGAAAAACATCAACTAAATATACACTAAGCACTCATAACATAAAACATTGAACAGCAGCACAAACATGAGTCTGTGTGAGCAGATGAACACGCATGAACACATCAACATGAAACAGATCAGCAGCAACATCAAACAGATCAGCAGCAACATCAAACAGATCAGCAGCAACATGATGTGATTTTTCACAGTGATTATTCTAGTTAGAGATTCATGAGATTCATGTTTGTGCTGATGTTCAATGTTTTATGTTATGAGTGCTTAGTGTATATTTAGTTGATGTTTTTCTTAGTTCATATCTTAGATGTTATTACTGTTTTTATTTTACATTTTATTGTTGGATGTAACTGGGACCCTGTGTACATAATTTCGCTCCACCACATGTACCACATGAGGTGGAATGACAATAAAGAATCTCTGACTCTGACTCTGATGAGTCTAACAGCCTCAGGGTAGAAGCTGTTCCTCAGTCTAGTGGTTCTACACTTAATGCTCCTTAACCTCCTTCCTGAGGGGAGTGGGGCAAAAAGTGTGTGTGCTGGGTGAGTGTGGTCCTTCATGATGCAGGTGGCCCTCTTCCTGCATCTGGAGGTGTAGATGTCTGTGATGGTGTGGAGACTGACTCCAACATCTTCTGTGCAGCCTTCACCACTCTCTGCAAAGCTTTTCTTTCTGCAGCTGTGCAGCCTCCATGCCACACGTTGATGCTGGAGCACAGGATGCTCTCCACTGCACACCTGTAGAAGGAGGTGAGGACTGAGCTTCCAGACCAGCTCGCCTCAGCCGTCTGAGGAAGTAGAGTCTCTGATGAGCTTTCTTGATCAGGCTGGTGGTGTTGTTGCTCCAGCTGAGGTTGTCATTCATGTGTACACCCAAGTACTTGTAGCTGGAGACCACTTCCACCGCAGATCCTCTTATGTTCAGGGGGGTGTAGGTGTTTTTGTTCCTTCTGAAGTCCACAATCATCTCCTTTGTCTTCTTCACATTGATGTGAAGGTTATTCTCTCTGCACCAGCTCTCCAGGTGTTCCACCTCCTGCCTGTAGCTGGACTCATCATTGTTTGTGATGCATCCCACCACCGCTGTATCATCTGCAAACTTTACAATGTGACAGCCTGGATGGGTAGCTGCACAATCATACATGAGCAGAGTAAACAGGAGGGGGCTCAACACACATCCCTGAGGAGAGCCGGTGCTAAGGGTTATGGTGGAGGAGGAGAGGTTGTGGATCCTCACTAACTGTGGTCTGTTTGTTAAAAAGTCTAGTACCCAGTTGCAAATGGAGGGGCTTAGTCCTAGTGTGGATAGTTTGTCCATCAGGGTTTGGGGGATCATGGAGTTGAAGGCGGATGTGAAGTCCACAAAGAGCATACGGACGTAAGAGTTTTTCTGCTCCAGGTGGTTGAGTGCAGTGTGGACCACAGAGGAGATGGCATCCTCTGTTGATCGGTTCTCACGGTATGCATACTGATGAGGGTCCTCGATGATGTTGATGGTTGTTTTGATGCGAGTCATGACCAGTTTTTCGAAGCATTTAGCGACTATCGGGGTGAGGGCCACTGGCCGATAGTCATTCAGACCAGTCACTGTAGAGCTCTTTGGGACTGGGATGATGGTGGCAGTCTTCAGGCAGGTGGGAACTGTCCAGGTATATAGGTCCTTATAACCAATCTATAGCTGTACTAACAGTCATTTTAACCCAAAGAGTCCATAAAACTGGTTGATCTAAAAGCACATGCCTTTATTTAACTTTTCAACTTATATTTTCTAGAATTCCCCATGCCAGATTCAATATGTCTTGGGAAAAATCTCTAACTTACAAACCCTTTCCAAAAAATTAGAATATCAAGGAAAACTTGTTTAACTTCCATAATTCCATTCAAAAGTTAATGTTTAATAAATTATAGATTCAGGGCCCACAGTTTAAATGATTTCAAATATTTATTTGTTTATTTTTACATAATTTGGGTTCCCAGCCCATGAAACCCATGAAAACAGGATTTAAAAAATAGAATACTGAGAAGAAATCAGCTCACACACTTCTCAGTTTTTGCAGAAAAAAAGAAATAAATCAGGATCACAACAAATCAATCAAAATATGGTACTTTCAAAACGATATGTGTCTTCAATACTTGGTTGTGAATCCCTTTGTCTTAATCTCTGCCTCGATGTGACACTGAGACCATCAGCCTGTGGCACTGACTGGGAGTTACGGAAGCCCAGATTTCCTTGATGCTGTCAGATCTTCTTTGTTGTTGCTCTGGTGCTCCTCATGTTCCTCTTGAGAAGACCCCATAAATTCTCAATGGGGTTTAGGTCCGGCCAGTTGGCTGGTCAGTCAAGCACTGTGATGGCATGGGCATCAAACCGGGTTTTGGTGCTTCTGGCAGCATGGGCAGGGACCAGGTCCTACTGGAAGATGAAATCTGCATCTCCATACAGATCCTCAGCAGAAGGAATCATGAAGTCCTCTAAAACATTCTGGTAGACTGTTGCTGTGACCTTGGATTTAACAAAGCAGAGTTTACCAACACCTGCACCGGACACTGTACCCCAGATCATGACTGACTGTGGATATGTCACACTGGACCTCAAGCAGTATGGGTTCTGTTCCTCACCCTTCTTCCTCCAAACCCTTGGACCTTGATTTCTGAATGAAAGTCACACTTTACATTCATGAGAAAAGAGGACCGAGGAACCCGGCAGTTGTAGTCCATCTCCTGGATGTGTCAAAGTGTGGTGGTTTTTGAAGCTGTGACTCCCGCCTCATTCCAGTCTTTCTGGATCTCTGACAGATTCTGGATCTTCTCTGTTTGATGATCTGCTGAAGCTCACAGTCATCTCTTTTGCTGGTGCATCTTCTCCTGACACATGTTGTCCTTCCACTAGACTTTCCATTGAGATGCTTGGACACAGCACTCTATGAACAGCCAGCCTCCTTAGCTATGAACTGTTGTGTCTTACCCATCCTATGGATGGGTAAGACACCATATTGAACTGAACTGAAGTAATTTAATGACACCTGTGGAAACCTGTGCCGGTGCTTTGAGTTTAGTAGATGATTAGTGTCACACTCAGTTTAAAACATTCATGTCCTGCAACATTTGGCCTGATTTCTTCACAGTGTTCTAATTTTTTTGAAATCCTGTTTTTGTGGGTTTCATGAGCTGGAAGCTCAAATTATGTAAAAATAAACAAATAAATACTTGAAATTGTTTAAATTGTGGGTCCTGAATCTATCATCTATTAAAGTTTAACTTTTTGAATGGAATTATGGAAGTTAAACAACTTTTCCATGATATTCTACTTTTTTGGAAAGGGTCTGTGTGTCATTCACTGGTACTTTCATTGTTGCAATGGTTGTCTGGCTGTATATACAGTAAACTACCTGACAGGCACTTTAACATGAAAGAAGAGCAGCAGAGTGGGACAGGGAGGGATCTGCACAATATTTCAACAGAATCATGAGATTAAATCATTGAAAGCAGACCATTAGGTTTATGTTCATTCTTAAACCAATGACTGTGAACATTGTTTTGTGTTGATGGATGTAACGGTCAGATATTAAATATCACTTCATGTTTTTTCAGTCACACAGAGCCACCACAGATCCATTACTCCCAGAGCGATGGCCAGTACTCAGGAGGCGGAGGATCAGCCCCTGTCCCAAACATGTCTTTTCACCCTGCACTGATGGAGCATTATCTACCACAAATCCCACCCACACCCAGAGCCGAGAGCCAGGCCACGCCCACCTTTCAACCTAGGGATAGAGAGACGGAACGAGTGCGAACACGGCCCCCCTACAGTGAAGGAGAGGAAAGTGATGTGGGAGAGAGGAGCGAGGGGGAGATGGTCCTTCTGACAGACTGAAGAGTCAGGTGGAAGAAGGGGGTGAAGGTTGGGGGCGGCAGGGCTTGAGATGAATGGTCAAAACTGACAAACTCTAAAGCAGAGCAAAAGAAAATGTGTCAATGAGTTCAATCAAAATAAGCTCATGTCAGTTTCCCTTTCTGGATATCATGTCATGTCTTGATTTACTCTCATGGCTACATTCAGAATCAAATGTTGGCACTGAGGCGTTTCTGTATATTTGTACTGAAAGTTTGTAACTGGAATTTTTACTGTAGCATAAGCTCTTCAGTTTATGTACATGAGATGAAACGATTATAGAGCTTCCTTTAGTTCACTTACACTGGGTTTTGTCTACAACTGGAATGTACAAAAGGTTTTACCATCACAACAATTAAAAAATACATTTTGATGTTGTAAACATCTCCATTCTGTTTTCTGCGTCACTGTTTCAGGCTTGACTCGCACAAAATTTTTCATCTTGTAGCACTTTCTTCTTTACCGTTAAAGTATGCCTGCAAAAAATATAAAATAAAAAAGATTTCCGATTTTTGTAGAAGATATGTGGGCGGTACACATTTGAACAATTTAACCATATTCAGGGAAATGTTTAGCTTTAAGCAGTCTCTTTTCCTAGTTGCATTAATTGGTTATTTGTTGCTTGAAGGTGAAAGGTATATTGTGTTTTTGCTCGTGTGTGTGTGTTAGTTCATTTTTAGTGTTAACAAAGTATCTCATGAACTAGTGGACAGATTTCAAAAACTCCCAGCAAATGATTTGATGCTCATCTACCACTGATTAACATTTGGAGTCAAGTCCATTTAAAATGGTAGCCAGACCTTTTTTTTTATTCAACCTTTATTTCTACAGGTTAATCCCATTGAGCCTCGAGGACTCATTTACAAGAGAGACCTGATTTAACAAAGAATGATGACAACAATGGACAGTTATAAAAAGTCATACTGCAGGTTTTTTTTACAAATAGGATGGCTAAAAGAAAAAGGTAACAAAAAAACAGCTAGATTCTAAGGTGAATGTATAAAACTAAAAACAGGAACATGTCTGCGTTGGTCCCTGCCAGGAGTCCAACAGATTCTTAGGTTGTTTTCACACCAGATAGTCCGGTAGACTCGGTTCTGGACCGATATTCATGAGCTTTTGTTACATTTGAGCTGGTGAGTTTGCATTCACACTGCACTGTGCAGTCGAGTCAACCTGTTGAAGCAACCTGTTGAACCAACCTGTTCCCCCCCTCACCTGTGGGGGCGCTGCACCAAGAACTACTGAAAGAAACGACACAAAAACCCCTGAAGACACTTCTTCTTCTTCTTCTGTAAATAAAAACGAAGTGGCATCAAGTTTTAGCAGTTTTAGGAGTTATATTTTGTCATTTTTCAAAAATGGACTTAGCATGAGCAGAAGATGAGACAGAAGACCATGGAGAATATTGTTTTCCACACAAGTCAGCTGACGGCTCCGTATAAGAGAAATGTGTTTGTCCTGCGGAGCGGGGCTCGGTCCGTTTACATTCACACTGTACTGGAACCACTGGAGTTCTCTTCTACCGGACCGAGACCTAGGTTTTAGCCCGGGCCAGAGTTCACCTTTTTGTTCCGTGACAGAGTTTGATGGCGCGTTCACACCTCCCTAAACGAACCGGACTTTCTAGGAAAACGAGCTAGAGTTCGATTAAAGCGACTAATCAGGGCTGGTGTGAATGCACCCTTAAAGTCATTTAGAGAGGACAAGGTTGAGAGCTTCAGATCTTTTTACAAGATATTCCAGGAAACAGGAGCGGAGTAGGAGAAGGTCCTTTTGTCTAGTTCAGTCCTCACTGAGGGAACACTGCAGGTAATAATGTCCTGAGAGCGCACTCCGTAGCTGCACTCACACAGAGACATGTAGGAGGAGATGTATGAAGGCAGCAGACCAAGAAGTGATTTAAAGATGAAAATGTACCAGTGGGAGAGTCTGTGTGAAGTTAATGGTGACCAGTTAACCAGTGAATACTGGGTGCAGTGGTGAGTACGGTAGTTACAGCCAGTTATGAATCTTAGTGCACCATGATAGACAGCATCCAACATCTGCAGCATCCAACATCTGCAGCATCCAACATCTGCAGGGTTCTTGTAGGAGCGTTCATGTAAATAATGTCACTGTAATCAATGGAGGGAAGGAAAGTCACAGATACAAGGTGTTTCCTAACATTCAGGGTTAGACAGGATCTGTTTCTGAAAAAGAAACCCAGTTCAACTTTCAGTTTCTTTACCAAGTTTTCCACATGGAGCTTAAAAGAAAGATGTGAGTCGACCAAGATAACTGAACTGACCTAACTGAACCTAGTAAACACAAAAATAGCTATAGTTCAGTCAGATTTAGAAATATTGAGCTAAAATTAGGTTTGTTAATAGTTGAGTCATGACCAACACATACAGTGATTTGTGAAAGTATTTGCCCCCTTGGCTTTTTACCCATTTTGTGACATTACAACCTGTCTTTAAAGTTTATTTATATCAACTGTATGTGATGCATCTGCACAAAATATTCTAAGTTGGTGAAGTAAAATAAGAACTAATATATATATATATATATATATATATATATATATATATATATATATATATATATACATACAGTATATGTACACCATACACCACTTTCTCTAAAATTGTTACAATAAAGGGTCATTTAGAGATCGGCCTGAAGTTGTTAAGATCGTTACAATGGACTTAGCATGTCTGAGCATGGACTTTGTTGTTTTCAACCAGTTTGAAAAGACTGTCAACAAGGAAGAGGGCCGGCAATGGAAGAGGGGCGTACCAAAGAGACCATCTTATTACAAGCAGAACTGGTTTGTTCCACTTTGGAGTAAGCTGTTGGAGGAAGAATCAGTTTTGTTGTGTGTTTCCTTGACTGATGAAGCCTTCTGGATCGGAGGCGAAACGTTTCAGCACAAAAAAAGAAACTGTCCAGATGACCTGACTGAAAAATGTTGGAGACTTTTAACACCATTTACGCAGTTCTTAACTCAAAAAATTAATGGTAAATAGCACTTTTTCCTTACTTCCACAGATAACTTAGCTAGATTTGAACACGTAAGAGAACAGGAAGCAATGGCAAAAACAAGCTAGGAAAACAATCACTGTCGCTCCTTTCAACCACAGCCGTCCTTCACCTCTGCCGTCCGTCATGGTGTCTCGACATGAACTCGTGATGTAGTTGCAAAGGGTCAATAGGCAAATCTTTTGTAACGAATTTAAACAACTTGAAGATTACACACTGCACAACCCATAGCACCATCTGCTGGATGAGCTTTCACACGAGGCTCAACCTGTTTTGTATTTGTAAATGGTTTTTTCTATCCTTAACATGTGTTTTTGGTCTTTCAGGTACAACTGGACCTACATCTGGACCTGGACCTACCATTCTGTGTTCGTCTGTCTCTCCTTCCTGTCCTCTCAAACCAGCCGGTCAAAGCAGATGGTCTCTTGTCCTGAGCTGGTTCTGCTGGAGGTTTCTTCCTGTTAAAGGGAGTTTTTCTTCCCACTGTCTCCACTGTGCTTGCTCAAGATGGGAGACTGCAACGAAGCCAAGATTCAACTTGTCTGCTGGATTCTTAGATAGAGAACTTTACTAATTTTATGTGAATGTTTCTGTAAAGTCCTGAGACAACTTTGTTGTGATTTGGTGCTTTATAAATAAACTGAATTGAACTGAATTGAGGCTAGAGGAAATCTGATGGATAATTTCAGGTAGGAGCTCCTTCGGCACCAAATGTTTCTGATTTTTTGTCTATCTAGTTTCAAATTAAAGTTACTTTTTAAATGGACATAGGAGTGTTAGCAAAAGATCTGAGAAACCATCCATCAGCTTCCACTCAGGGCTTAATTTGTAAACCTGTCAAAGACGAACGCATACAATTTTGAATAAAGTAGATGTGATTTCAAGCATTTTGGTGTATCTTAACAGGTGGTTAAACATCTGTTTACCTACATTTGTAATCACTCCACTTCTGTCAAGCATCCTCTCCCCCTTGACGATTCTGTCAAGCAAGTCGGGCTCAAGCCCGACTGTCCCTGCTTGTTCTTGTCCGACTTTACATGAACTTCCAGGCACGTGCCTCGTTAGCTGGGTACTCATCCCAACCACTCTTAGATGTTTTTTTAAGGGTAGATGCAGAAATGGTACTTGAAAAGGCAGGTTGTATGCTGTTGTGTTTAAGTAATTATTTTCATTTTACATATCCAATACAAGTTTTATTTGTTCATGGTAGTCATATTTGTTCATAACTTTATTATTAAGCCTGAGAATTACTGCATCCAAGCAGTTACTGGAACGCACCCCGTCAAACGAATCCTGTTCCGGCAGGATCCAGCTCAAATTAAGCTCTGCCTCCACTTGTTCCGAAGTCGGGTCAAAGGGACGGCAGCTTGAACAGGGAGGTCCAGACATCTCTTTCCACAGCCACCTCTTCTGGGAGGACCCCAACCAAGAAACGTAGTCTCTCCAGCGTGTCTTGAGTCTTCCCCGGGGTCTCCTCCAAGTTGGACGTGCCCTGGGAGAATCTTTACCAGTTGCCTGAACCACCTGACCTGGCTCATCTGGATGTGGAGGAGCAGCAGTTCTACTGAGTCTCTCCTGATAACTGAACTTCTCACCCTGTCTCTAAGAGAGAATTCAGCTACCCTGCAGAGGAAACTCATTTCAGCCGTCTGGATCCACAATCTCACTCTTTTAGTCTCTACCAGAGTTCATGACCAGAGGTGAGGGGAGGAACGTAGACCGACCAGTAAACAGAGAGCTTTGTCTTACAGCTCAGCTCCCTCGTCACCACAACGGACCGGCACAGAGTCTGCAATACTGCAGACGTTGCACCAATCCGTCTGTCAATCTCAAGCTCCATTCTTCTCTCACTCATGAACAAAACTCTGAGATACTTGAACTCACCACTGGAGGCAGAACCTCACCCTCGACCCAAAGAGAGCAATCCATCCATTTTTCACTGAGGACCATGGCCTCAGATTTAGAGGTGCTGGTTCGCATCCCAGCCACTTCACGCTCGGCTGCGAACCGCTCCAGATCAACCACTGGATGAATTATGAAATTATTAAAAAGTAATCAATGGATCTATGTCTGCAATGAACTTTACACAACTCAACTGACCTTAGAAAACAACAAAGGCTATAATGTAGCCACGTTGACAGATGTTGAACTAACATTTAGTGGTAGAAGCAAAGTTATTCCAGTACTGACAAATCATGCAGGATATTTTGCATTTCTGCAGGTTATTTTCAAGGTTTGGACTAAATATCTGCCTTTTCTTAACACAAGAGATCCTGGTCGTAAACTTCAGGATTATTTTAAATAATGTAAAGCTTTTAAACATTTTGTTATATTACTCATAAACAAATGGAATAAACAGTTTTACATATGGATTTGTTTTGTTTCGACACACCGATAAATAAACTGCTCAAAAAATGTGCCTAAATAATTGTAATGCCATTTTAAAATGCCATTTTATTTTATTAACATCAGAAGTCTGCCACAGAAACCTCAGAGGAGCATCTAATCATCCCACCATGGACCTCTTCCTCCCCCTCAGCCTAACTTCGTTAAGTTTTTTGATAACGGCTGCAGACTTTTTGGATGAGGCGCTGTAACTCTTCAGCAGCACCTCAAACAGCAGCTCTGTGCTGGGGTGAGTACTGAGGAAAGCCTTCTCTAGAACGAACAAATCCACCCCCTTATCCTCCGGCAGGGCCGAGATGTAACTCAGGCCGAAGTCGATGAGGACAAGGTTGGGCTCCACGTTGTCCAGGCTGCAACTCAGTAGCATGTTGGAGGTGGTCAGGTCTCCATGAATGACGTCTTCATCGTGCATCTTAGCTAAAATCTGGCCGATACGCCGAGCCAGTCGCTGCATCTCCTGCTCCTTGCAGGAGCCAGACTGTTGAGCGGAGGCGATGTGATCGCGCACTGTTAAAGAACCCAAAACCTCTTCCATGAAAATACAGTGAGCGGCGTAGTCCACAAAGTAAACGATTGGAGCCGAGATGCCTGCGGAGGAGACGGAGAGAAAGAAGTTATCAATACAACTACAAAACTGCAATAGGATCCATTTTTACCAAACAAGGCTCAAGTGATGTGAGCTGCCGAGACCACGACTGACGAAGCCTAAAGGAAACACGCCAATGGCCGCACGATGCACTTCTTCATGTTTTGAAGAATTGTCAGTATAAAGAATGACTCACAGGAGCATCTCATAAAATCTGAATATCATGAAAAGTTCAATATTTCCTGTCAATCATTTCAGAAAACAAAACTCATTGATCGGGCAGCACGGTGGCGCAGTAGAGCTACTGTCACTCGGCAAGCAGGTTACCGTGGTTCAAATCCCAGTCCAGGGTCCTTTCTGGGTGGAGTTTGCATGTTCTCTCCGTGCATGTGTGGGTTTTCTCCAGGTGCTCCAGTTTCCTCCCACAGACCAAAAACATGCATGTTAGGGGCCGTTTACACGGCGTGTATTCTGAGTGAATCCGCTCCTTTCTCTCTGAGGTTCTGCTGATCATTTACACGACACCAGTGGCCCCCCCCTCTTTGAATCCAGATGTTTCTGAACCCACCTTCCAGAGTGGAGGTTTTTCTCTGACCCCCCGCTGATAATGTGAACATCTCCTGCTGAGGCTTTGTGTTAAACCACATGCGCACACGTGGACAGACTCTATATTTCTATCAACATGGCGGCGGACACACAGTTTTCAGAACCTCGACTGATGGAATATATTTTAATCTCGTAGTTAATCTACGTCAGATTCCAGGTGCTGTGACCAACATCTGTGTTGGAAGAGACACAGTCTGATCCAGGTCTAATGTCGCTGTTTATAGAACGAGGCACGTGCACACGCCGCGCTGCACTGTAACATCTAAATGTGCTAAATAATAAGTTTAATAATAATAAACAGTATTTATGTTAGTGTGAGAGATAATGAAGCTCTGAGCTAAATTAAGGTATCTGGACATTATGTAGTTCAAATTTAAAATGATGCTAAACATGTAGTGTGAACACTAAAGTTGAAAATGAAGACATCAGGTTTAATTTTTATTTATTTATTCAGCACCACAAACTGTATGTCACACAAACACTGATAATAAAACTGAACACACTATTAAAACACGTTAACAGTAAACTGCATGAATGAACTGGACTCTTGTTTTCATCCTGGATGTCCCACGTTGTTCATGTGGCTCGTTCAGGCTGTCTCTCCTTTCATTAATGCAGATTTAAACATTCAATGTACTGAACATAAGAACTGAGGGGACGTTTAAATAAATAGTTCATCCACATCTCTGTCTTCAACGTCCTCCTGCAGTTCATCTGGGCTGAGCCTCGTTCAGAACCGGTCCACCTGGTGGAGGACAGCTTCTCCTCATAAGAAAAATATAAAAACTCAGCTGGTTGTTGATTGATGGAAGTAAACACAAGCAAACATTAAGAACAATGATTTACCTGCTGTAAATCAGCTACTGATGATCACGGAGTGGAACGTCCAACATCATTATGGTCGACTCGGTTCTGGTCCACTCAGCGACCGGTGTGGAGCTGTTAGACGAAGCGGTCCCGCTTGGTGTCAAATCTGTCGACTCTCATCCAAAATTCATCTTTAACTTTTTGTTAGGATGTTGTCAGCCGAGCTTTTAGCCCAGAGGAAAGTCCTTACAGGGAGCGACGGGCCGAGGCAGCTCGCATGCGCATTGGGTGAATGTACAAAACTCACAGCGTCATCTAATGACACGGCATGGCAACTACAGCGGATTCAAAAAGGGGGGGGGGGGGGGGTCCCTGTGGATGCATGTAAACACAAAATCCGTCCATGTCAACGTGCATCATTTTCTCTAATTAACATACGAAAAAACCTACGTTTCCCCCACAGTGTCAGTGTCAATAGGACCTAAATTGTCCTTAGGTGTGAGTGAGAGAGTGAATGGTTGTTTGTCTCTGTGTGTCCCTGTGATGGACTGGAGACCTGTCCAGGGTGTCCACTGACTCTCACAGTGACTGCTAGACATGGGCACCAATGACCCCTGTGACCCAAAAAGGAAGAAGTGGGTAAAAGATAATGGATGGATGGAAACCCATAGATCCATGACACAGAGTGACATATTTCAAGCCTTTATTTCTTGTAATTTTATTGATTATAACTTAGAAATAATGAAAAAACAAAATTCAGTGTCTCAGAAAATTAGAATATTCTATAACCATCTTTTGGCAGCTTTGGCAGTGTGGACAGAAGCAGAGTCCTGCTGGAAGATGAAATCAGCAACTCCATAAAGCTCGTCAGCAGAAGGAAGCATGAAGAGCTCTGAACTGCCCGGCTAGATGCTGCTCGGCCTGTGGATTTCAGAAAACACAGTGGAGCAACACCACACGAGGAGTTTGGATTTTGTCCACTTTGAGTTCACCCTCCCCCATCTAACTCCTAAGCCGTGCATTCCTGCACGTCGCAGCCGGACCATTAACCATTTCACTGCCACACGTTTCACAGATGTTTATAACTCTGAAATGATAATTCAGGCCCCAGTGTTTCTCACCACCACTGAGGAGCTGACATCCCAGTTCAATTCTGTCTGCTTAAAGACTCTGGATCATGCCGCACCTGTTAAAACCAAAAAATCAAAACTCAGAGCAGAACCTTGGCTGAGTGACGTCACCAAGGCCGTTAGGCAGCAATGTAGGAGGGCGGAGCGAAAGTGGAGGAAAGACAGGCTGCAGGTCTCTTTCCAAATACTTAAAGAGAGTTGGTGCCGTTATCAGAAAACAGTAAAAGCTGCTAAATCAAAATTCTTCTCTGATATAATTACCTCAAACTCTCACAACCCACGTGTCCTCTTCTCCACCCTAAACTCTGTTCTCCACCTCACTGTACCATCACCTCTGGAAGCCTCGACTGAGCTGTGCAAGAACTTCCTACATTTCTTTTTGGAAAAAATTGCTACCACCCGGGCTCTCATTTCCCCTCCAACTCATGACCCATCCATCCCACCTCAATCTGTAGCTCCTTTTGACCATTTTGAACCATCGCTCTATCTTCTCTAGAGCAGGTCATGTGCAGCTTGAAACCTTCTGGTTCCCCCTTTGATGTGGTCCCCCCTCGACTACTAAAGGAGGCGTTTCCAACTCTAGGTCCGTCCAATCTTGCCATAGTAAACAGTAGTTTATCCACTGGGGTGGTGCCAAAAACCTTTAAACAAGCTGCTGTCCAGCCTCTCCTGAAAAAACCAAACCTTGACCCCTCAGTCGTTTCCAACTTCCGGCCTGTCTCCAAACTCCCATTTGTTTCTAAAGTACTGGAGAAAATAGTCGAGTCCCAGTTGAAGTGCTTCCTGGAGGATCACGCCATCTTAGAGCTTTTCCAATCGGGCTTTAAACCTCTCCACAGCACTGAAACTGCCCTGCTGAAGGTTTTTAATGACATCTTCATATCCACAGATACCGGTGATTCTGTGCTGCTTGTCCTGTTGGACCTCACAGCCGCCTTTGACACCATCGACCATGAGATCCTCATTGCCAGGTTGGAGCAGTGGGAGGGCGTCACAGGATCAGCCCTCAATTGGTTCAGATCTTACCTCACTGACAGATCCTTTTGTGTCTCCATCAAGGATTTTAGTTCTGCAGAGGCAGAGCTTAAATGGGGGGTTCCGCAGGGGTCCATCCTGGGTCCCCTCCTATTCTCTTTATACCTGCTGCCGCTTGGTGCTATTTTCCGGAAACACAACATGCCCTTCCACTTCTATGCCGATGACTGTCAAATGTACTTCCCCTTAAGACACAATGGTACATGCTCTATTCAACCTCTGCTCAACTGCCTGGCTGACATCAGGGACTGGATGGCTTTAAACTTCTTAACTTTCAATGAAAAGAATCTGAAGTCATGTTGTTCCCTCCCAACGACACGATCACAAACCACTGCATCGACCTCTCCACTCTACCCCTGTCAGAAAAACAAAGAGTCTAGAACACATACTTACATATTAATACAAAAAACACCAACCTTCAAATAATCATGTTCAATTATGCACTCAATACTTGGTCGGGAATCCTTTTGCATGAATGACTGCTTCAGTGTGGCGTGGCATGGAGACAATCAGCCTGTGGCACTGCTGAGGTGTTCTGGAGGCCCAGGATGCTTCGATAGCGGCCTTAAGCTCATCCAGAGTGTTGGGTCTTGTTCTCTCAACTTTCTCTTCACAATATCCCACAGGTTCTCTATGGGGTTCAGGTCAGGAGAGTTGGCAGGCCAATTGAGCACAGTAATACCATGGTCAGTAAACCATTTACCAGTGGTTTTGGCACTGTGAGCAGGTGCCAGGTCGTGCTGAAAAATGAAATCTTCATCTCCATAAAGCTTTTCAGCAGATGGAAGCATGAAGTGCTCCAAAATCTCCTGATAGCTAGCTGCATTGACCCTGCCCTTGATAAAACACAGTGGACCAACACCAGCAGATGACATGACACCCCAGACCATCACTGACTGTGGGTGCTTCACACTGGACTTCTGGCATTTTGGCATTTCCTTCTCCCCAGTCTTCCTCCAGACTCTGGCACCTTGATTTTCGAAAGACATGCAAAATTTGCTTTCATCCGAAAAAAGTACTTTGGACCACTGAGCAACAGTCCAGTGCTGCTTCTCTGTAGCCCAGGTCAGGCGCTTCTGCCGCTGTTTCTGGTTCAAAAGTGGCTTGACCTGGGGAATGCGGCACCTGTAGCCCATTTCCTGCACACGCCTGTGCACGGTGGCTCTGGATGTTTCTACTCCAGACTCAGTCCACTGCTTCCGCAGGTCCCCCAAGGTCTGGAATCGGCCCTTCTCCACAATCCTCCTCAGGGTCCGGTCACCTCTTCTCGTTGTGCAGCGTTTTCTGCCACACTTTTCCCTTCCCACAGACTTCCCACTGAGGTGCCTTGATACAGCACTCTGGGAACAGCCTATTGTTCAGCAATTTCTTTCTGTGTCTTACCCTCTTGCTTGAGGGTGTCAATGATGGCCTTCTGGACAGCAGTCAGGTCGGCAGTCTTACCCATGATTGTGGTTTTGAGTAATGAACAAGGCTGGGAGTTTTTAAAAGCCTCAGGAATCTTTTGCAGGTGTTTAGAGTTACGTCGTTGATTCAGATGGTTAGGTTAATAGCTGGTTTAGAGAACCTTTTCATGATATGCTCATTTTTTGGGACAGACATTTTGGGTTTTCATGAGCTGTATGCCATAATCATCAGGATTAAAACAATTAAAGACCTGAAATATTTCAATTGGTGTGCAATGAATCTGAAATATATGAAAGTTTCATTTTTATCATTACATTATGGAAAATAATGACCTTTATCACAATATGCTAATTTTTTTAGAAGGACCTGTATATATATATATATATATGTATTGTGAAATTCTTTATCAAAAGGGCTCGTGAAACGGTCGGCACAGATATTCAGACGATGGAAAAAATGACACACAGACTGTAACTTGCTAGAATAATATTTGTCATTTATTAATCTGCCACAAGAAAAAAAACAGCCAAGCAAAAGAGTCATGTACACTCTTAACACACAAATTGATATGAGTATCTCTCACCGTGACAAAATGATCGGGAAGCCTTTCGATCCAATGAGGAGAACTCAATCAGGCGATCTGGCACCGCGCGCTGGTCCAGAACAAGACTTCTAACTCTCTGTGTCTGATACATTTCTTATAAAGGCTTCCCTGATCGCGTGAGAGCAGATCAAAGCAAGTTTTGATGGTTGCCAG